TGATGTAGGGGCTGCCTCTCAAATAATTCATCTAGTTCTCAAAATCGGAAATCATTAGTTCCTTATCAAATTTCACCCATTTTTTGAATCCTGGACAATTCCGTTAGCATTCTGGGAATGGTGAAGTTTGAGACTTGAAGGGGCGTCTACGATAGAAGGAGCTACATAGCAGTTACTTGGATGTAGAGAAGTGAGGTGCTCCGCCTTTGCGAAGAAAGGTGCGCTGGTTCTGAGCAGGACTTAAAAGCGCCCCGCACCTCAGGCGCTCCGCCCACTGTTTAGTTGGTGATTTGGACGAGCTGTATTGCCAGCAGCGCCACAACTGGAGCAACTCGACTTGGGGCATAACTCGGCCTCTGACCGTTCTTGAACGAAGATCAACGGCCAAACAGTGTGGTCCCCTTTCTTTCGCCATTGGCGAACCATTGAGCACCTCCATGTCTCTCCCTTGTATATCCTCTAGAAACTATCGTAATCGCTGCCTCTAACTTCATACTTCTCAAAAATAGTAGAATTTTGAAAAGCTTGGAATAAGAAGACCCTAAATTCAGGCACCTACCTCTTCTCCCGGTATCCTTACATTCTTTGTAGATGGATTTCGTATAATGTATATTATACGAGAATTTCATTGAGAGCTGTGCACTAGTGAGTGCCGAACATTCGATGACGTTGTCAAGGCCCTGAAACAGTAAAAGATGTAGGGACTTGAAAGAGCAGTGTCATTACCCCTCTCTCTATCTTTGAAATCAAGCATCTTTTGCAGTTGCAACCCGTACCGTTGCGATTTAGCATCGAGCCCGATGGAATGTGCTATATTGCGTCCCATATCGCACTTACGCGCTGCGACTCGTCCGCCAACCCGTCTGAGTCTCCGCCTTCTCGCCGCCAGTGGGTTGCTATGTCCGCGGTGCCCGTATTTAAGAAAGCAAGTATTGGATCAAGTGGTGGCTGCGGTGGGGCGCACATAATGAAGTGGGGGAGTGCGGAGAGGACAGGTCAAAAACACTGAAATGACAGGCTTAAATTTTCTGTAAGGCCGGTAATTTTCTGTAATTTTCTGTGCGATACGACGGAGATTCAGAGCGAGCAGAGAAGGTATGACACACGAGAGAGCACGCCGTACGAGAGGGTACAGAGAAGCGGTCGTCGCGTGCGTAGTTTTAGCCCCGCCCTCGAGCAAAACTAATACCGGACATTAGGTAAGTTTCTAGCGTCATCTACCGGTGTCATAAAAGGCATCGGTGACGTCAACAAGCACCTCTGTTCTACTTGCTCTTAGGATTACTTCGTGCTCCCAACCCGGGCTTGCTTTTATGGGCTACCAAAATTATGGCCTGAACTGTGCAATACCCGCAGCGTCAACACTGCCGATTAGCTTTTCTCTACCTTTTACAGCCCCCTCCTGCCCAGCAATTCTCATAACCTAAAGGAGGGTTCCATGGTAATGTAGGAGGTCCCCGGAAGAAAAATATACCCAATCAAAATGCAGGCGGACCTCTCAAGAGTTAGGACGATGCGGAGGGTTAACTCCGTTGGCCTAACTAGGACGTACCTGCACCGCTGCGCCCCTGCAGGCCTGAGATAGCAGAGAGAGCGTTATGGTTGAAGGATGCCTCCACACTGGCGCGACGGGTGAGAAAGTTCGCATGAATGCGCAACTCGGCGGGTAGGGCAGGTGCCTTTTCTCTGGTTCTGGGCCGTTTCCCATAGTAATTCCATTGCTCCTGCACCACCTGGCACGTTGATTTTTATGGGCTTTTCGTCCTAAACACCGCCTTTGAAACACAGCCATGGCCAATCACTCTTCTTTCTTTCCCTACCGTTTCCTTTTCGAGGCTTTTTCTCTCTTTCTATACCACTGAAAAGATTCTTTGTTACATTCTGGAAGCTATAGAGCGATGAATACATTATGCATCTCTTGGTCTTGTAGAGGAGCGGCAAGATGTCAGTGCCAACTATCATTGCCACATGTCGCCTCAGTTTTCCCCTCTCCCGTACTAAAAGGTATCTACTTGGAGGGTCCTTTTCGTCGAGTTTCTACGTTTTTTTTCAGTTCGAAGATTACCGATCCTTCGCTTTGGCTTCTGGCGCACCCACCGACTTGTTCTACGGCTTCAGTTCTCTCTCACTCTTTCTTTGGAGTTTAATCTGCCGCCTGGAGGCTAGGTACGCATTTATATATTAGTAGTATTGGATAGCGCCTATGACGCAGGAAAACGATTCGACGTAAAAACCAAAATGAAAATTTACCATTTTGTCGTCGCTAGAGAATCCAAGAGCAAGGAATACAGAGCTGGTTTGTGTGGTAGGCAATGAGAGTTCGAATCGGATCTCCTTAGCTGAGAGAACCTGTAAATTTTTGCAGATTTTCAAGGGACATTTCTATTCGAAAAATCATGTGTTTTTGTTGTTTGTTTGGTGTTGGCTCAATGCCAATTGGCCGTGTTGACCAAATATTCGTTCCTGGTCAGATGGACTTTTACCAACACTGTGTGAGACTACTAGAGATGCCATCGGAAGGCGGGCTTCAATGCGGGTGCCCTCGTCGCCGCAAATGCGCTTCGTATCAGTCCTTTGGAA